TATATATATATATATATATAGACAAATGACCTTGTGATATGATCATACACATGGTTGGATGCAGGCATGCATCACATTAATATCTTGGCACTTGTTAGTTTTTGTAATTTCACGTGTCCCCTGCAATGTGGATACACGTGGATGATTTTTTCTCATATTTTATGTTTGACATTTTAAAAACTGGACGATGTTGCTCACAATTTCTTTTTGAAATATCAATGCAAAAGTCATTAATGTTGTTTAAATGCCACCTCCTCTTTTTATGAAATAGTGTACAAATTGACATGCCTCGTAAACTAATTTTGAGGTTAATGCTTTTGACACTTATATTGGTATAAGCGTATCACTATCGAACTTGTATCGTGCCTCTATAATAGCATTTATTGTAATTTATTTATGTATATAATTAGTTTGTACAATACGAAAGCTAATCAAAATGAGGTTACTCCTTTTATGATGTTAATCCTAGCTGTTAACAAACAAGATATATGATTTTTATCAAATCAGTTAATATAGTTCTAAAAATTATTGCTGTTGTTTTCCTTTCTTTTGCAATTATTTCGTATAATACAAGATGATTGTGACCATTCCTCTAAAAAATATTTTCACATGTCAAGTGTGAGAATATTTTTATATCAATTAAATGTCAATTGGTGTGAAAAGATACACTAAAACCAATTGATATAAAAATATTTTCACATTTGAACACAAGCGAATTTTTTCATCTTAAAATATATTCACACAACCAAACGTGCCGTAAAGGAAAGGATTTAAAGTAGAAAAAATGGATGGAGAATTTTTTCATCTAAAAATATTTTCACACAAAACCAAATGTGCCATAAAAAAAAGAATTTAAAGTAGAAAAAAAGGATGGAGAGAATATTTCAAACCAGAGAGGAGGAAAGAGGTCGGAAAGAGAGACTCAACAAAAAAGCAAAAGGCAAAAAAACTCAAAAAATAAGAAAGAAAAAACATTAACCAAGAAATGCTCTTGGAGAGAGAAACAAACAAACAAGTCAAATTTATGAAGGAATTTCTTTAGAGAGAGAGGAACAAGCATAAATGAAAAGTAAGAAAATGATAATAGATAGAGACGAACCAACAAATAAATTCAAAACCAATAGGAAGAGACAGAGAAACCAACCAATGAAGAGTAAATTACGTAGTGATCCAAAATAATTATCTAAAATATGAAATGATCCAATTATTGTGAAAACTATAAAGAATGTCGGTCCACTACACCTCAAAATGCATGGGCACTGCCCCTAAAGCTTGGGGTACTATCCTACTAATGAAAAATCTTAAAAAACAATTTAAAATTAAAATACGGACCTTAAATTACTAAGGAACTAAGGCTTATGCAGTCCAGAGGGCGGTCTGAGGATTCTTGCCTTAGACCGCAAAGGCACGTCCCCCTAAATTTTGGGATACTACCATACTAACAAAAAAAAAAAAAATGTAAAATGAGGTCCAAAGATTACATCCTCGGACTAAAAGGTAATTTTGAAAAGAATAGAAAAAATGTGGATTAATTGATAATTTCCACCTAAAATAGTCCTATTTATATTTTAGATAAAAAATTGGGGTCCATACGCAAATCAGTCACAAATGATGCAAAGCCCAGATGCGCTTATAACTTTATATGCAGAGAGAGAGAGAGAGAGAGACTACAACTGAATACAAAACCAAGATATGTTTATGCTTCAGAGATGAACAAACAAATGAATGTAACCAAGAAATGATGAGAGAGAGAGAGAGAGAACAAACAAATAAATGCAAACCAAGAAAAGCTTGAGAGAGAGGTACAAAAAACAATGAAAACCAAAAAAAATGAAGGCCATAATTATATCATTTACTCCTATTTTTTAAAAGTAATTTAAAACTGATTTTCCATCATACTCACATAGGTATTAAGCTGGCGAATGAAGCTTGAGAAATTAGCGTGCTTGAAATATTTGGGCAGCAAACTCTGCGAAAATTCCTGAGGCATCCACACTACGAACCCGGTGCCCTCGTGGTTCCATGAGATAATATCCCTGGCTTCAGGGTCGTTTACCAAATCATATGTTTTCAACAAAAATGGAGCCGGGCTTCGAGCCTTGGACGAGCCAGGGCTGGGCTCGTCAGGGTGTGACATGGCTCGGTCTGGGTCCTGAGTGGTAGGCTTTGTAGGGCGATACCTTTTGCCAAAAAGAGAACTTTGGGGCTTTGAGCTGAGGTTTCTTATATAGAGTGAGAAGAGGGTTGGTCTCTCTCTTCGATTCTCGTGTCATAAGAGTTTGGTCTTCCCTCTCTTTCTTTATCTCTCTTCCTTTTCAACGATTTTGCAATAAGCACCTGCGTACATTGATACAATTTTATATAGCCCTGGTGATACCTTTATAATTATGGGTTTAGTTATATGAAAAGAGAACTTTTTAGGATGAATCCCCCAACCGACCACGAAAATCTTTAAAAACATTTGTAGGTGAAATTGAATAAAATTTCACCCCGTCAATGTCTACAGCAGTTTTGATTTAAAACCGACACGGATCTACGAGAGCCGTGGCGGTTTCTAGTGTTTTTTTGCATGAAAAAAATACCGTCACATACATGTTATGTACATTGTGGTCTTTTAATCCACGCTGTCCAAAAAAA